CTAGCTGGGCATCGGTGGCACATGCCTGTAGTCCAGCTACTGGGAGTGAGGCAGGAGATCCCTTGAGCCAGGAGTTTGAGGTGCTGTAGCGAGGCTTGACCCCGGCACACATCTACGCCTGGGCACAACGAGACTCTGTCGTCAAAAAAAAAAGAAATGATAAATTAAGAAGACATAAAATCAGCAAAGGAAAAGCTTGAACAACATAGTGCTACTAACATAACCCAATGCGCATTTATATACAGTCAGTCCCACAAAAACAGCATAAATCTTTTCAAGTTTATGAAATAGATCATATTCTGAGCCTTAAGAAAAGTCTCACCAAATTTAAAAGAATTCAAGTCATACTTCTTATGTTCTCTGACCACAATGGAATTAAATTAAAAATCAATAACAGAGAGTTGAACCCAATCTTTTTCCCCCACTGCAAGACCCCATTGCAGTGGTCCCTATACCTGTCTCCGGTGGTCGAAGAAGGTTCCTCGCCATGCTAAAAAATAAAAATAGCCGGGCGAGGCTGGCCACGCTGTAATTCCTAGCACTTTGAGCGAGGCGGGCGATTGCTCAAGGTCAGGAGGTTCGACCGCCTGAGCGAGACAGCCATCTCTACCAAATAGAAGAATTAATTGACCAACTAAATATATAATAATACAAAAATTAGCCGGCATGGGCGCATGATGTAGTCCAGCTCTCGGGGGCTGGCATAGATCGCTGAGCCAGGAGATTGAGGTTGCTGTGAGCCGGCTGACGCCACGGCACTCCTCTAGCCTGGCAACAAAGTGAGACTTTCTCAAAAATAAAATTAAATAAATTAAATAAGTAAATAAATAATAACAAATAACGAAATCCCCGAAATATTGGTAAATTATACACTTTCAAATAACTCATGTGTCAAAGAAGGAATCAAAGTAGAAATCAGGAAGTATTACAGGCCGGCGCAGTGGTCACACCTGTTCTGCACTCCTGGGAGGGCCGAGCGGGCGATTGCTCAAGTCGGAGTTCGAACCAGCCTGAGCAAGAGTGAGACCCGTCTTACTATAAATAGAAAGAAATTAATCTGGCCACTAATATATATATAAAAATTAGCTGGCATGGTGGTATGCCTGTAGTCCCCAGCTACTTGGGAGGCCTGAGGCAGTAAGGATTGCTTGAGCCAGGAGTTTTGAGGTTGCTGTAGCTAGGCTAATGCCATGGCACTCACTCAGCCTTGGGCAACAAAGTGAGACTCTGTCCAAAAAAGAGTATTACAAACTGAATGAAAATTAAAACACATCACTATTTGTGGCATGCAGCTAAAATTATAGGAATAAACTCCTTTATTAGAAGAGAAGAAAGGTCTCAAATGAATTACCTCAGCTTCCACCTTGAGAAACTAGGAGGGCCAGGTGCAGTGGCTCACACCTGTCATCCCAGCACTTTGGGAGGATCACTTGAGCCAGAGTTTCGAGGCTGCAGTGGAGCTATGATGACACCTCACTGCAACTCCAGGCTGGATGACAGAGCAACACCTGCCTCCAAAAAAGAAAAGAAGAAAGAAAAGAAGAAAGAAAAAAGAAAGAAAGAGAAGCGAAGAAGAAAAAGAGAGGAAGGAGGAAGGAAGAGAGAAGGAAGGGGAAGAGAAAAAGAAGAAAGAAAGAAGATAAGAAGAAAGAAAGAAGAAGAGAAAGAAAGAAAAAGAAAGAACGAAAGAAGAAAGAGAAAAACAGGGAGAAAAGCAAATGGAACCCAAAGTAAACAAAAGAAAAAATAGTGAAGGTCTGAGTGACGATCAATGAAAAGAAAATAGATAAACAATGAAGAAAATAAATGGAACCAAAGGCTGCATCTTTGAGATCAACAAAATTGGTAAATCTCTAGCCAAATTGAGCAAGAAAAAAAGAAAGAGAACAAAAATGATCCTCTTTTTGTCATTTCCCTTTTTGGAGGGAAAGAGATGATATTTCTGTAGAATCTACACATATGAAAAGGATAATAAGGGAATATTGTGAACACCTTATGCCAATGAATTTGACAACTTAGATGAGAAATGGACAAATGCATTAAAAGATGCAAACTCCAGCAGCTCACTCAAGAAGAAACAGACACTCAGGAAACGCAGAATGGCAATGGTTGCAAACAGTGTGGATGCACTTAAAGCCGCTGTACTGTGTACTATAAATGCTAAAAGTCAATTTTATGTTATATATATTTGCCACAACAAGAAAGAAAGAATAGATAGCTAAATATCTGTGTCTATCTCTTAAAGTTACATTTATACATTACAAATCTTCCCACAAGGAATCTCCAGGCTCAAGTTCATAAGCTTCACTTGTGAATTCTACCAAACATTAAGAAATGATACCAATTTTACACAAACTCTTGCAGAAACTTGAAGAGAGAATACTTTTCAACTTATGCTGTGAGGCGGCATTACTATCAACAAAGAAAAAGAAATTACATACCAATATACCTACTCATCCATATATATGTGAAATTCTAAAAAGTTGGCCAGATTCAACAATATATAAGGAGCATATATTATAACAAATGAGTTTATCCGAGTAATATAAATTGGTATAATCTTATTTTTATTTTTGGAGACAGAGTCTTATTCTATTGCTTGCGCTAGAGTACAGTGGTGTCATTATAGCTCACAGCAACCTCAAACTCCTGGCTCAGGTGATCCTCCTATCTCACTCTCATGAGTAGCTGGGCCTACAAGCATGTGCTCCATGTCCACCTAATTTTTCATTTTTTTTTTTTTCTTTTTTTTTGGTAAAGATAGAGTCTGGCTATGTTGCTCAGGCTAGTCTCAATCCTGGCCTCAAGCAATCCTCCCACCTTGGCCTCCCAAAGTGCTAGGATTAGAGGAATACCACCACACCCCAGCCTATTTGACGTTTAAAAATCAATTTATGGCCGGGCGAGGTGGCTCACACCTATAATCCTAGCACTCTGGAAGGCGGAGGCAGGCGGATTGCTCGAAGTCAGAAGTTCGAAACCAGCTGAGCAAGAGTGAGACCCCCGTCTCTACTATAATAAGAGAGAAATTAATTGGCCAACTATATATATAGAAAAAATTAGCCGGCAGGTGGTGCATGCCTGTAGTCCCAGCTACTCGGGAGGCTGAGCCAGGAGGATTGCTTGAGCCCAGGAGTTTGAGATTGCTGTGAGCTAGGCTGATGCCATGGCACTCACTCAAGCCTGGGCAACAAAGCAAGACTCTGTCTCAAAAAAAAAAAAAAAACAATTTATTTCACCATAAATAGAAGGTAAAAGAATTAACAGAATAATATAACATTATTATTCAGAATATTATATGATATTCAGAATGTTACATTATACAGAATAACAAAAGAATATAAACAACTCATATGTTAATGTATTACTAATATAACATGTTATATATAGCATATACAATATATTAAGAATATAAAAGAAAAGCCATATGATCATCTCAGTAAGTGCAGAAAAAACATTAGATAAAATCCAACATCCGTCCAGACGTGGTGGCTCATGCCTGAATTCCTAGCACTCTGGGAGGCCAAGGCGGGCGGATCATTTGTGCTCAAGAGTTTGAAACCAGCCTGAGCAAGGGCAAGACCCCGATCTCTACTAAAATAGAAATTAATTGGCCAACTAAAATAAATAGAAAAAAAAATTAGCCAGGCATGCTGGTGCGTGCCTGTAGTCCCAGCTACTTGGGAGGCTGAGTCAGAAGGACTGCTTGAGCCCAGGAGTTTGAGGTTGCTGTGAGCTAGGCTGACGCCACAGCACTCTAGCCAGGGCAACAAAGTGAGACCCTGTCTCAAAAAAAGAAAAAAAAGTCCAACACCCATTCCTAATTAAAACCTAAGCAAACTAGGAAAGGGAACTCCCTCAACCTGCAGCCCTAAGGTCAGAAGCAGGGCTCGGAGCAGAGAAGTTGGAGACCAGGCAGAGAGACATGTGAGGAAGACAGGGGAGCATGGCAGTCAAGGAGGTGGAGGGTTCTGAAGAGACCACTGAGCTGGCCTTGGGGAGCTGTCCGTGGTGGTGCCCTGGAAGCCCAGCCACTCAGCAGACCAAGATCCGCAGGCCCAGGCTGAAGCATGGACATGCCCAAATCCCAATCCCAGGGCCAGCCATGCAAGGACCCCTCTCCCTAGCCTCTGCATCTCTGGGAAGAGGCCACGGCACATTCTCATCCTTCCCATATAACCCTGGGAGCCATTCTTCTCAGCCAGAGCCAGAGCTGTCACTTCCTACCACACCGCAGACTCATGGGGACCATCCTGGCATGATGGCAGGATTGCCACAATGGCCCCTCCATCCATGGCCCTGAAGAGCAGAAAATAGCACAGCCTGGGGCTTCCCACCCCCAGAGGATGAAGCAACAGCTTCTGCAGGAAAAGATTCAAGCCTCCAGGGAAGGGAGGACCACCCACAGGAGCCAGTCTCCTCTGCAGAGGGTGGTCCAAGCTCATAAATCACCAGGCAGGTGCAAGCAGCACCTCAGATCAAACACCTGGGCTGAGGGCCTTGGCCTGGGATCGGGACTGGGGGGTCAGAGGGAGTAGAGACAGCTGGGCAGAGAAGCAGGAATGGAGGAGAGGAGGCGAGTTCCCCTGGATGTGATGGACCCCACGCAGTTCCAGGCTCCTGGGTTGGGGAGCCCAGGGGAGGATCTTGAGTCAAACCTGTATTCAAGCCCTCACTTCAGCAATGATCAGACCTGAGTCAAATGGCCCTCTCCTAATTGCTTGTGTTGAATCGATGAGATAAAGGCATGAAGTGCCTGGGCTGTAGCAGCGCTAGGTCTAGGGGAGGGAACACCGTCAGCATTCGCCTATGGAGGATGGAGGTGGGGCTGGCCAAAGACAGGGACTGGTGACTGGTGACTGGTGAGAGGCAGGATGGGTGAGGAAAGAGGGAGGGGAGAGAGGAGAGGGAGGGCTGACGGGACAGGGAGGGCTGGAAGCAGGAGGCGGCTGGAGCAGCCCTGGCTCCAGTTCCCTCAGGGACTGTACCCCCCCCTGCAGCTCCCTGCAGCTCGCTGCCCCCACCTCCTTCTCCCTGCCAGGTGCCAGTGGATTTCCCTGTTGTGGCCAGAAGTCTGTAGAGATTGTGGACATGCGGTGAGAACCACTCTGCCATCATCCTAGGGCCTCCTCCCAGCGCCCAGGACTCGAGCCTCTCCCCTGACACCACGCAGTAGCCTCCAGCCCCGTCTCCCTCCATCTCGCCCATTCCCAACACCTGGCCAGGGGCAGCGTCCAGGCCAAAAGGCTGGGGAGGGGGAAAGGTGTCTACCCCCTCTGTTCTGCTGCCAGCCCTGACATTGGACAAGGACTTGGGGGAGGTGGTTGGGCACACCCAGGGGCATGGATGGTACCTGACCCCTTAGAACTGCCTTGCCTGCTGAGGACAGAGCTGTGGGCGGGTGGGTGGGAGGACATTGGCCTGGGCTTTCCCCTGTGTAGGGAGCCACTTTCTGGGTGCAGATTCTCAAAGTGAGCTGCCTTGGCTCACCTGTAACACTTGACAAAAGGCAGACTCCTGGGCCTGACCTCCCACCAACTGAATCCCTCTCTGGGGGTGGGGGATGAGCTGGCAAGTTTGAGGACACCACTCCAGACTTCTTGGTTGGAGTGGGGACAGCCAGGGGAGTAGATGAGCTGGGGGAGGGGCATCTTGCCAACCCCTGAACAAGGCAGGGGGCTTTGAGGGCTCCAGAGACCTCCTTCCCCCTGAAGCTACCCACCCACCCCCAGATCCCAATCACCCACTCTGTCTCCTTCTGTCTTAGGGATGACTTAAACCAACACCAGTTGTACAATCCCCGGGTGGCACAAGAGGAAGAGGAGAAGATGGAGGTGAGAATGGAAGGGTCACCTCTTACAGGGAGGTGGAAAGCAAGGGTCCCTAAGCCCTAACCAGCCCCTACCTTTGACAATGCTGGGACCCTAGTTCCAGGCCAGTGTGGGCACTCACACGCCACCCTCACAGGCAGGTGTCTGAGAGGAGGCAGGTGTGGTGGGGAGAGAGCAGGACCCGGCTGGGGGGCAGGACAGGGGCCGGGGGCCAGGGAGGACCTCAGGGCCAGGGACCTCCAGCTCTTACCTCCTCAGCTTTGAGTTGAAACCTTTCAGCTGGAGGCGGATTTGCTAGAGCAGGAGCTCCCACCCAAAGTGAACCCGGACCTGGACCTGGACATGGACCTGGACCCGGAGCTCATGGCTTTGCTGAAGTCAGAGCTGCAGCCGGCACCCATGCCTGGAGCTGAGGGGGCCAAGTGGAAGATGACCAATGGCAACGAAGACCTTGAGAGGCAGGGGTACAGGATAGAGTCCGTCCACCCCTACATAGAAGGGCTGCCAATGCTACACAACTTCAGACCGTGGAGCGTGAGTTCAAACACCAGTTACCTGAGTTCCCTGGAGGAGAGACAGGTGCCCACTGACTACCGCTCCATCCCCGTGCAGACCTCCAAACACCTCTTCTGGGCAAACAAGCTCACCCAGGCCTCAGAACACAGCCTACAGCAGGAGGTCAACATGCAGCTCCACAAGAGCAGTGCAGACAAGACCAGCAGCCGCCAGAATTTCGTCCCCACCAACACTCTGTCCTCCAAGAAGCACTTCCAGACCTCCACTACCCACACAGCTCTTCCAGCCACAAGCTCCCAACCACCATCAAGCACCCACCTGACCTCCTCCAATCTCTTGCCAGCCATTGGCCTAACAGAATTAATCCACTTTGCATCGTCGCTGGCCATGGCCTCCTCCAGCAAGACAGACTTGCCCAGTTTGGAGCACAGAATCAAAGCTAAACCCCAGAAGGTCGTGGAGCCTTCCACAGAGCCCGTCCAGCCCACTGCAAATAAGGAGACAGATAAGGAGATACTGTCAAACAAACCACATGGAGCCATGGGGCCACAGAAGACTTGGAATAAGGAAGAGAAGAGTTTCTCTCACCCTTACCTTGACTGCAGCAAGCTGGGGACCAAGAGGACCACCATTGAAGGGGAAGTGAAGCTTCTCCAGCCTTCAGCCACGTGCCCCAACGAGCTGCAGGGACCCAAGGAAAAGTAAGTGAGGCCAGCCACCCAGGCAGCTGTCCCCAGCGAGGGGGCTGTGCTGGGATGTGGGGGGCCCGCTCCTCACACGCCAGCTAGGGGTGGGGGACAGTGGAATGAGGGGCTGGGCGGGGGTGCAACGGACTGGGATGCCTCAACCTTAGTGACCTCATAAAGGCTGCTGGAAACAAGGTTCCGGTGGGCCGAAGTGCAGTGCCAAGGCCAGGGCTGCAGGAGGCCTGGGGACCATGGAGGGTGAGCACTCTGGGGCAGGGGCAGGGCCTGGATCCAGACGGGAAAGGCCGTGCTGGCTTTAGGAAGCTTCCACCCACGGGGCAGAGCCTCCCCACATGGGAAATGCTCAGGCTAGTGTCTGCCCTGCTGAGAGCCTGTGGGCCCCAGGCCTGGGGCCTGGGTGCCTTGTGGAGGGCACAGTGGGGGAGCTCTCCAGCGCCCCTTGTGTTCTGGTGATGAACGGACACAGAACAGGACCGCAGCTGCCCAGCTGCGTGCAGCAGCACAAGGCCCCCTCACCCCCAGTGACCTCCTCTAGAGGCCTCTGGGCTCTCCCCTCTCCCCTGACACCCCTCGCCGGGGCCCAAGTGACGCTCTCTCTTTTGTGTTGCAGCTCAGTGCCGGGAAACAAGAAAGGGAATCCATTATTGCTGCAAATTCATTTTAAGCTGTCAACCCCCTCTACCCCAGAGAAATGACTATACAAAACCAGTAAAGCCTCCAGTGCTGGCCCTCGGCTCAGACTTTTTGTGCAAATGCTCCCGGACCAGTAAGCTCACCTGGCTGCCGCATCCTGATCTCAATTTTTTAGGGATGCCACCCCCATTTTTAGCTGTCCCAGCCCCACCTGTCCCTGGAGGGCAACATCGCCCTGTCCCAGCTGTCTGTCTTATCCGTCCCCACTCCTCAAGGGCAGTTCCACTTCACTGCCACCTAGCCAGGCCTCCAGGCCAGCAGGGAGACTCATGACTAGTTCAGGGGAGGCCTCGGTGCCCTCTCATGAAATGGGGATTCCTCTTGGCCTGAAGTCAGGGCTCACCGTGTTGGGATCCTCCGAGGCAATGGCCTCCTGGGCGTGGGACTGGGCAGGCAAGAAGGCGCGTCTGAGTGGGGTTCCTCCTGCTCTTTCCTCCGGGAAGGGCGGTGTGGGGAAGGGGTGGTGTCCTGGGGCTAGAAGGAGGGGAAAAGTGAGGCCAAAGAACTGGTCCTGCAAGAGGCTGCAGCCTGGAGCTGGAGGTACCTCAAGACGTAGGGGACAGCCACCCACAACCCAGACTTGCACACTCACACGCAGACACCACCAGCTGCCCAGTATACCACACATGGTCACATGACATGTACACACATAGGAAGCACATTCCACGCACGCCCATGCACATGTGTGCCTTGTGACGCAGTCACACAATCAAAATGTGCACACAAATGCACTCGCACTTCTAGGGTTTGGCCTTGGAGGCCCAGAGGATGGGCAATGTGAGCCAGCTCCTGGCAGAGGAGAGCCGGCAGCAAAGGAGGGAAGGGAATTCCGAGTGGGTGGCTGGGCACGGGTGTGGCCAGGGAAGCTGGGAGAAGGAGCCCTAGAGTCTGTGCGGTGGCCGGGGCCCTAGTGGATCCCCCCTGGCCCACTCTGGGCCTCACGCTTCCTGCCCAGCTGGGCCTTGCGGATCTTCAAGAGCCCGCCCAGCCTCAAGAGGAGCTGAGGAGGGAGGTGCTCAGGGCCAGGAGAGTGGGATTAGGAAGGAGTGGCGGTTAAGACTGGGCCGGGCATGAGAAGGGGGCAGGAGGCTGGAAGGCGGGACGGGGGCGATATAAAGGTGAATGTCTTGTGAGTGGCTCAGCCAGAAGTATTCTTCAGCTCTCAGGACTCATTTTTCTGGAGTTGGTTTTTTTTTTTTTTTTAGTTAATAAATTTTGGTTTTTTCAGAGCAGTTTTAGGTTCCCAGTAAAATTGAGCAGAAAGTTTGAAGAGTTCCCATATAGCCTCTGTCACACATGTATATTCATACACAACCTCCCCTACTATAGGCAAGGGCCCCAAGGGGAACATCTGATGCTGATGAACCGCCACTGACATCATGACTCGTCATGACCCAAAGTGCGCAGTTTCCATTAGGGCTCACCATGGGTTCAGACCGACGTGTGCTGCCATGTGCCCGCCAGCGCCGTGCCGTACAGAAGAGCTGCACTGCCCCCAAAGCCCCCTGTGCTCTGCCTGTTCATCCCTCCCTCCCCCACCCCCGATCCTCTTACTGTCCCTAGAGTTTTGCTTTTCCAGAATGAGTTGGAATCACACAGTATGTAGCCTTTTCAGATTGGCTTCTTTCACCTAGGAAGACACATTTCAGTTTCTTCCATGTCTTCTCATAGCTTGATAGCTCATTTAAGTGCTGCATAGTATTCCATTGTCTGGATGTACCACAGTTTATTTATCTATTCACCTATTGGAGGACACCTTAATTGTTTCCTAGTTGTTTCCAAGTTTGGGTAATTATGAATAAAGCTGCTGTAAACATCTATGTGCAGGTTTTTGTGTGGATATAAGTTTTCAAATCATTTGGGTAAATACCAAGAAGCTCGATCGCTGGATCACATAGTAAGGGTAAGTTTAGTTTTATAAGAAACTGCCACACTCTCTTCCAAAGTGGCTGCACCATTTTGCATTCCCACCAGCAATGAATGAGAGTTTCTGTTGCTCCACATCCTCTCCAGCAGTTGGTGGTGTCAGTGTTTTGGATTTTGGCATTTTAATAGGTGTGTAGTGATATCTCATTGTTTTAATTTGCAATTCCCTAGTGATATGATATTGAACACCTTTTCATATGCTTACTTTCCATTTGTATATCTTCTGTCCAGATGTTTTGCCTATTTTTTAATTGGGTTGTTCATTTTCTTATTGTTGAGTTTCATGTTATTTGTATATTTTAGATAAGAGTCCTTTGTCAAATGTGTCTTTTGCAAATATTTTCTCCCAGACTGTGTCTTGTCTTCTCATTCTCCTGACATTGTCTTTTGCAGAGCAGTTTTTAATTTTAATGAAGCCCAGCTTATGTTATTTTTTCCACACATCATGTCTTTGGTGTTTTATCTAAAGGGTCATTGGCATACCCAAGCTCAATGAAGTTTTCTCCTGTGTTCTAGTTTTATAGTTTTGTGTTTTACATTTAGGTCTATGATTCATTCTGAGTTAATTTTTGCAGAGGGTGTAAGGTCTGTGTCTATATATATATATATATTTATATATATATATATATATATTTCATGTGGATGACAATCATATTATCTTCAAACAAAATTTTATTTCCTCCTTTCCAATATGTATTCTTTTTATTTTCTTGTCTTATTGCATTTCTTATTGCATAGGATTTCTAGTACAATGTTAAACAGTTGTGAGAGGGGACATCTTTGCCTTCTTTCTGATCTTAGCAGGAAAGTTTCTGCAAGTTTCTCGCCATTAGGTAAAATGTTAGCTGTAGGTTTTTGGGTTTTTTTGAGACAGAGTCTCACTTTGTTGCCCAGGCTAGAGTGAGTGCCACGGTGTCAGCCTAGCTCACAGCAAACCTCAACACTCCTTGGGCTCACAGCAATCCTCCTGCCTCATGATTCCTCCCAAGGTTAGCTGATACAGGCATGCGCCCCATGCCCAGGTTGAATTTTTCGTACGTATGCTATATTTAGTTGGCCGATTAATTTTTTCTCGTACCTTTATAGTCAGAGACGGGGGGTTAACACTTGCCCTCAGCTGGTTTGTGAACTTCCTGACCTCAAGCAATCCTCCTGCCCTCGGCCTCCGCAGATTCTAGCATTATAGGCGTGACGGCCACCGCGACCTGCCTACCGTACGGTTTTTTTGGTAGATGTGTCTTCTTGTATCAAAGTGAGGAAGGTTCTCCCGCAGTTGCTAAGAGTCTTCACCTACAAATGTGTTTGATTTTGCTCACAATCGTTTGTCACATGAATATCTTATATCGATCATAGTGGGTTGTTTCTCTTACTAGTTGGATATGATGGGACTTACATTGAATTGATCTTCAGAAGTTGAATCAGCTTTTCATTCCTGAGATAAATTCCCACTTAAGTTGTGAGTGTATAATTCATTTAATGAACGGATTTTATTAGAAGTTGAGCTGGAAATATTTAGTGGAAAGGAATGTTGATGCCTCTATTGCATGAGAGATAGCATAGTCTCGTAGGTGCTCATTGCACCCAGTCTGAACATGTATTTTCTGGTTTGGTATTAGGTAATGCTGGGCCTTAAGAATGATTGGAACATAATTCTTTCTGGCTTCATATCATGCTGCGAAGAAATTATTAGAATTGCTATATTTTGCAACGCTAACTTACTAACTGTGTGGGTAGATATGTCCCAGTGAACCCATACTGAGCCTGAGCTTTGCTGGTATTCACATTGACAAGGTTGTTTGTTATTAATTTAATTTCTTTAACAGATACAGGCTTGTTCGATATTGTCTATTTGTTGATGTGAGCTTTGGCAGATTGGGTCACTCCGGGATGCTTCTATGAGAATATCATGCGTCCTATGATACCTACCACATTCCACAAGAGTAGTTGTCATGAATTTGTGGACATACAGTCATCTCGGATGAACAAGGTCACCTCAGCTCACTTCGTAGCAATGGGCTATCTCTCTGGCCATGTCCTATGGAGAGTTCTGTAGTGAATCCCCTCTTTCATTTCTGGATATAGTATTTGTGTTCTTTTCTCTTATATCTTGTATTAGCTTAGCTAGAATCTTATTGATTTTATGATCTTTTCAAGAACTAGCTTTGTTTTGCGGATTTTCTCTATTGATTCCTGCTTTTAATTCATCGATTCTGTTTAGTTTTATTATTCTTCATTCTGCTTACTTTGGATTAATTTGCTCTTCTTTTTCTAATATCTAAAGGTAGAAGCTTAAATTATTAGTTTTTTGCGGCTACAGGATGCGAGAGAGCATGGTACAAACCTAGAGACGTGAATCCAGCTCTTGGGCCAGTCTAGAAGAGCGAAGGAGGTCACTGAAACACAAGCAGTAGATAGACGCCGAGACTCATCAGCGATCGTAGCATGTGCGGAAGCTGATGATCTTGCACTGCTCCTCCAGCCCTAGAGGGCAACAGAGCAAAGAATACCCAAACCAATGTCTCCTATACGAGTCTGTGAGAAAAATCAGTGAGGCGGAAGTGGTAGTTCCTCGCTGTTTCTAAAATCAACTCTGCAATATCCAATGATGTAAATTCCCACTCGAAGACAGCTTTCACTCGACATGCCACGAATTATTTTTTTTATTTTGGCGAGTGGATCACCACAACTTATATATTTATTTATATATTTTATAGTTTCGAGACAGGCAGTGGTCAAGTTTGTGCCCAGGTAAGATGTGCAACGAAGGCAAGGCCGTGGCCCCGAAAAAAAAAAGGAGTCAAAGGGCAAAGGAACGAACTAATCGACCCCAACCAGACCGGCCTGCTGCCGGTCGGGTCAGCTCGCTCACAAGATAAAGTCTCCATGCGGCGATCAAGCGATCCTACTGCTACAGTTCACGCTAGTAGCTGGGTGCCTCCAGATAGCGAGCAGTCGCGACCCCGACATGCACCCAACTAATTTTATGAGACGAACTACAATAGGCATGAGCTTAATGAGTACAAACTAATTATAGTGTTCAGTCAGATAAATTATACAGTTATCCATCTTGGTAGAAGACCAGCGAGGAGCCACAGAACAGCGATCGACT